TTGAAAGTCTCTAATATTACTCCTGCCTATGGCTTCTCATTTTACTTTTTCTTCCCCAGAGGAAAGTCAATTACTTCCTATATCATTGCCTGGAACACTGGAAATAAAGCAGCTCAGAACTCCAAAGCTCAGAGGGGCTTTTTGAGGTGACGTATTCCATTGCCTTATGAAAATGAAAACTAGACACAGGTCCTGTTCATTCAACATGAATTGAGCATCAATTTATGGGCCAGACACTGAGAACACAAAGAAAGGAATAAAACCCTATTCCTTGCTCAGATTTCACAATCTATAACTTGATAGCCATTGTTTAACGTTCTTGTCAAGTCTCGCTCTCATCTGATGTTCTCCAGAGACAGAGAATGGTTATTAAGTCACACACAAGTCTCCTGTGCCAATAACTTTATTTCCCTTTACTCAGCATAAACTTCTTGCTAGAACTAAGTTGATCTGTTCCCCTACACCTTCTTTTGGGAAGGGAAGTCTAAGAACCTCATTGAAATTCTAAGTTCAATAAGGGCAGGAACCATGTCTAGATCTTGTCACCACTTTACATCCTGACTGAAACATAGTAGATGCTTCATAAATGTACTTTGAATGAATCTCTCTGATAACTAGAATATATTACATGCAAATTATAAACTTTGGATAAATGGGGGTATTATTATCTTCCTCATAGAGTTGCCACAAAAGGTGGTAACACACACAAAATAACATCTGCCATAATAATTTTAAGCTCTTATTATTTAATTTTATTTTAATTAGAAAAATTTTAACAAACATCTCATTTGGAATTATTTTTTATTTAGAAAAGTTGCCAAGATAGTCAAGTTCCTGTAAATCCATCGCTTAGGTTTTTCCTGATACTGACATCTTACATAACCAAAGTACTCTTGTCAAAACTAAGACACTAACATTAAACACAACATCTACTGTGTTTCAGTCAAGATATAAAGCACTTAGCAAGACCTGGACATAGTCACTGCCCTTACCGAACTCAGACCTCAATAAGGTTGTTAGACCTGCACCCCCCACCACAAAAAGGGTATAACTACTGTGTTAGAAGGTTAGATCAAGTTAATTTCTAGTAAGAAGTTATGCTGGGTAAAGAGAAATTAACATTAATTAGCAACATTATTAACTAAATTATGGATTTTATTCTGATTTCACCAGTTTTTCTACCAATTCCTTTACTATTCCAGGACCAGTTCAGGATACCACTGCATTTAGACAGATTTTGATGTTTAACTGCTTAGTGAATTCATAGTTTTTCTTGCTTAACACTGAATTTGGAGGATCAATAAACTACTTACTACTTCATGTTATGGTTTGCAACTGAAAAATACTATCTGCTTATATGAACATGATACATACGATGATCATACCATTAACATACCAAAGTAATCCTTAGGAAAACCATAGAATCAAGAGACTTAAGTACTTTTTTTAAAGTATGTATTCATTAAATGAAAATAAAATAATTGGAAAAAGTGTTATTCCTTAAATAAATGACACAGGGAAATAAAACAGGCTAACATTTATTGGGGTGCTCACTCACTTCACTGTGTGCCAGATACTGTGCTTTCCATCCTTTTTATAGATGATAAAAATTGGCTTTAAAGAAGTTAAGTACCTTGTTAAAGATCACACAATTCTACCGTGGTGGAACACAAATCAAAATGCATCAGAGAGGAAGATGTGGTTAAATCCATGCATATTATAGATCATGTGTTGAAATTACTTCAATCATACTGATGACATATCTTACTATGCAATTAATTATAAAACTGTATCACATTCAACATGAATTGTCAATTATAGGGGGTTGAACAAAGAACAAAAAAATCTCATACATGTCTTTATAAAAATATTAATCTGATTTTAAGCTGCAGAACTGTCCAAACAAGAACTTGGAACTTTTTCTTAATCCTTACTTGGCCCCTTTGATGTTATCAAAGTATAGAATGCTCTCTTAGTATAGGAGTCAACAAACTTTTTCAGTAAAGGCAATACAGTAAATATTTTAGGCTTGTAGAACATATAGTCTCTACTGCAACCATTTAACTCTGCTGTCACAGTGCAAAAGCAAAGATAATACATTAACAAATGAGCATGGCTGTTTTCCAAAAAATTTTCTTATAAAAATGGGTGGTGGTCTTGATTTGGCCTATAGCTATAGTCTGCTGACTCATCTCTGTGCATTCCATATTATGGAATGAGCTTGGATACTATGTACCATGAATGAGAGTAGAGGATGTACCCTTAGTCATCCTGCCATGACTCTTTATTTTATTGAAAAAAAAATCCATGGAACAAGTTGGACAACAGTCCTGGCCTCAGAAAATTAGTCTTAGGATTGAAAAGCAGGTGTTATAGTAGAATCCATATGGGCAAAGGATACAAAACTAATTCATAAAAGAAGAAATTTAACATGCTAAAACTTTTCTTACAAATAATACTCTAATTTCTAGGCTGTGAAAAAAGAAGACATAGTTCAATATTACTGATAAGATTGTGGGTTTGTATAGCCAATGTGAAAAGTAATTTAGCAAATGCTAAAAAAAAAACCTTCAAAATGTTCAAACTTAATACAAATTGCTCTTAAATCTATGAAAAGATGTTCAATGCTAAATATACGAGAGAAATTTTAAAAACTATGATGATATACCATTCTCACCTATCAGTTTGGCAAAAATCCCAAAATTTGAGGAGTACAAAGTAATGTATCCCACAGAGGGCAATTTAGCAATATCTATCAAAATTTAAATATGTTTACTCTTTGACCTAGGAATCCAAAATCTAAAAATTTATCCAAACCTGTACCTAAATGAATTGAGGAATATCAAGCTTATACACTATAGCATTGTTTGTAATGGTACATTAGAAACAACCCAAATGTCCATGTATAGAAACATCAAATAACTGTAGGAATAAAAAAAGAAAAAGATCTACATATGTTAGTATGGAAAGATCTCCAGGAGATATTTCAAGAACAAAAAAGCAAGAACATAGGTAGTATGCTACCTTCTATAAGAAACAGGAGAAAGTAAGAATACATAATTGCTTTTACTGATATTTAAATAAAGAAACCCCTGAGCATTCAAGTAATCCAAATGGTTACCTACAGGGAGTGAATAGGGATTGAGATAGAGTAAATTCTTACATGTGTGTGTGTGTGTGAGTGTGTGTGGTTTTAATTTTTGAATCATGTATTAGCTATTCAAATAATAAAGAACAAAATTACTTCAGGATTACTGCAAAGATTAAATGAATTTATAAATGTTCCTGATATAAAATGTCTAATACAGTGCTTTACTCACAGTGGGTGCTGATATGCAAATGGATAATAAGCACAATCATTCATCATTAGGAAAATGCACATCAAAACCACACTGAACAGTGACTGCAATGGGGTAAGGGGGCGACTCAATAATATGGATGAATGTAGTAACCACATTGTTTTTCATGTGAAACCTTCATAAGAGTGTATATCAATGATACCTTAATGAAAAATAACCACATTGAGATGCCAACTCACACCCATTAGGATGGCTACTACTATCAAAAAAACAAAAGAAAACAAAATAGAGTTAGGGAGGATGTGGAGAAAATGGAACCCTTGTGCACTATTAGTAGAAATGAAAAATGGTAGAGCCACTATGGAAAACAGTATGGCAGGTCCTCAAAAAATTAAAACAGAATTACCATTTGATCCAGCATTCTCACTTCTACATATATAACCAAAAAAACTGAAAGCAAGGACTTGAATAGATATTTGTACACCCATCTTCACAGTAGCATTATTCACAATAGCCAGAAGGTGCAACCCAAGCACCCAGCCACAGATGAATGGATGAGCAGATGTGGTGTGTATCTATATACAATCAAATGTTATTCAACCTAGAAAAAGAAAGAAATTCTGACAGATGCTACAAAATGGATGACTCTTGAGGACATTATGTTAAGTAAAATAAGCCAGTTACAAAAAGACAAATACTGAATAGTTCCACTTAAGAGGTACCTAGAGTAGTCAAATTCAGAGAGACAGAAAATAGAATGGTGGTTACCAGTGGCTGGTGGGAGAAAGAATGGAGAGTTGTTGTTTAAGGTCTACATAGAGTGTTAGTTTTACAAGATGAAAAGAGTGCCAGAAAGAGGCTGCACAACAAATAAGAATGTACCTGATGCCACTGAACTGGCATTTTATTACCATAAAAGGATTATAATAGTGAGAAGAGGTCTAGTCAAATACATAATTCACTGAAAATAATTGTAATGGATTGTGTTAATTCATTTAAAACAGGAAAAGATTTTTTTAAAGTATTACAATCCTCCTTTTAAGAGTTATGACTATGAGAATGTAGAGAAATTCAGCCATAAAAAAGAAAAAAATCTTGCCATTTGTGACAACATGGATGGACCTAGAGGGTATTATGCTAAGTGAAATAAGTCAGTCAGAGAAAGATGAACACCATAAGGTTTCACTTACATGTGGAATCTGAAAAACAAAACAGAAACAGACTCATAAACACAGATAACAGATGGCTGTTTAGTATGGTGGCAAAGTGGGGGGTAAGGAGGAACAGATGAAATAGGTGAAGGGGATAAAGTGGTACAAACTTCAAATTAATAATTTAGTCACAGGATAGAATTACAGCACAGGGAATATGGCTCATAATATTGTAATGTCTTTGCATGGTAAGTATACTTATCATGGTGAGCATTTAGTAATTAATATATATAACTGATGAATCACTAAGTTGTTCATCTGAAACCAATATAATATTGTACATAACTATAGTTCAGTAAAAAAAGAGAGTTATGACTATGATAACAACCAAGAAGAACCAATGAAATAAATAAAAAGGAAGTAAGTTTTAAACTAGTTATTTTGGCTGAACTATTTAATATATCAACTTGAAATTTAAATACTATAAACAAAATACTATGGTCTGAGCAATAGACTTATTATTCAACTTCATGTTTCATTTTTTATTTACCTGGGAGAGAGAACAGTACCAAGACAGAGGAAGATCAAACACTCTTAGGACTGCTATCTTCAAGGAAAACTGTGATTCTTTCACTGTTTCTTCTGACATGATTCCTCTTCCAATCTTCAGTAAATGAAACATAAAAACATATTAGCCACAGTACATCACAGAGAACACAAGGAATGACTCTATAGCATCTTACTACACTGATCGACAGTGACTGCAGTGGGGGTGAATAATATGGGTGAATGTTGTAATCACAATGTTGCTCCTATGAAGCCTTTATAAGACTGTATACTAAAGATACCTTAATAAATAAATAAATAAATAAATAAATAAATAAATAAATAAATAAATAAAACCTGAAAAATAAAACATATTAGCCACAGAGATTTCTGGTGGTCTACCAAGTAAAAGATACATATTGAAATTTTAACTCTATCAGTTTTTCCTTTTTGCAATTATTCATGATTATTACACTTCCCTGGAGAAAATAACATTCTGAGTCAAACTCACTTGTGTTAAACTTTATTAATCACCAGAGCAGCCAAAAAGAAAATGACTTAAATCTAAACTTTGAGTTCAGCTAGTGAATTTTCCTTAGAAAAACTGCAGGTCCTAGATTCTCTATTTTCTGGTTAAATAAACATTTCAGTGTCTAGGTAGTAATTTTAAATCCATTTCCTTCCACTTGTTTCATTCAAATAACTGTGCAGGGCTAGGGGGTGAGGGGTGGTACACTGAAAGGCATCTGATTGGAATCATGACTCCTGGAGCTGGAAAGGAGAAACATTAGAGTTCACTGAACTTCAGAACTGTCCCATTTTAAAGAGCTTCAAAGAAATGGCACATAAAGACTATGAAATTTTATTATTGTTTTATTTCTATTGAAACCAAAGATCAGGCAGATGTCTACAAGGAAGGCAGTTGTCACTCAGGCCTTAAAGGTAGCAGAACCTAGGTAGAAACATGATGACTAAGCATCTGGGTTTATGCTTCGTATAGCCAGAAACTCAGTTTTATCTGTACCCAGATGGACACTTTCAAACAAATTCACATAGTATTGATGTATAAACTAGTTTACAAATTTGTTCATTTATAGTGAGGAAATATACTATCTAGTCACCAAACTGGGTTTAATGCCTTTCCTAATTGCAGTTTTAGCACAAAAGTGGAGTTTTAAGCCAATCAGCCTGGAATTTCCTTATCACTAGTGAGGAAATCTGCATAGGACCCTGTGCTCCTCTTGTGAGAAGGTGACTTTACCTGAAAAAAATCCCTAAGCATTTCTTTTGCTAATAACTTTTTACCCCACCCTCCTCCCTATAAAAACTTTTCATTTTGTACAACTGGGGGGTATTTCTGTACTTGCCCAGTTCATTAATCACTTAATAAAACCAATTAGATCTTCAAATTTACTTGGATTAATTTTGTTTTTTAACACCTACCTCTCTGAAAAGATTGTAGGGAGCTGAATTAATAATAAGTAAAATGGTCTGCCTAGTGAGCACAAAATTAATGGGACCTGAGGAATATTTCATCCAGGCCAAGAAAGAGCCTGAGAATTGTCCTTGGTTGATAAGAGAGGTGGCTTCTCCAGTAACCAGAATGTTTATGTCCACCAAATTTAGTATTTTCCTTGGATAGAGCTTTTTAAACATTACCAAAGAGAACAATCCCTCTATAAAAGCTTACTTGCTATACTTTAAGTCCTTTATTTCTGCATATATTCTAGACTCCAGTTAGATTACCCCATTCTGTTAATAACCCCCCCCCTTTTCAGACAAATATCAAAACCACTGATACTAGTAGTTGCCTTTCAAATCAAACACAGTAATACTTCTTAAGCTGGGTTTATAGCTGTTAGGCAGGAAGACAGATAAGAGCAGGATGAAGAGAAGGTGAGGCCCACTGAACTCAGAGTTAATCAGGTTAAGTCAGAGAGCCAGAAAGGACTCACACCCTTTGCAATTTGAGTTCACTCCACATGCTCTGAATCTGGGCTGACCTTGAGACTTGCTATAGCTACTGCAGGTGAGATAGAACAGATAAGGGATCAGCATCATGATTAATTTTCCTATAAAAAATGCATAGACTAGCATAATAAGAACAAGAAGTACTTACCTTAAGGCAAGGCAGTCTTAAATGATGTGCTCCTTGGGAGTGGCCACTATTTTAGAGAAGAATAAAAGGTTTGTCCTAAAGAATTACCTAGAGGACTAGTTATAGACAATGACATATTGTCTCTTACCAGAGACAGAATTGTGAGATGAGACCCACTGACAACCTTACATCCCTGACCCTTTAACTTTGCCCCATTCTTGAAAGCCTTCAAAGACAGAATCCCAGCTATTAGGATTCTCCTCTTCTCTGAGGTTGCCCACACTCCCCCATTCTTGAAGTGTGTATCTTTAAAAGACTTTTTTACTGCTCAACATATACACGTCTCTGTGCTCTTCCAGTGGTGTCTTTGTCACTATGCTATTCCATTCTCTTTTCCAGACTTTAAGCACAAGTCTTCACTCTCTCTGTCCTCCTCCAGATAAGCAAGTAAGCCTGCGTTTATCTACCTTGACTCTAGCCCATTCCTCCCTTGGAGTATATTCAAATACAATTTTCATTCTGCTTCACTACTGTGTCTCTGCCCTTAATTCTTTGTTCCAGGGGGGACAAGAACTGAGAACAAACTCATCACCCCCACCGTAGCTACTGACTCTTTTAACTTATTTCCATTCCCTATCACTGACATTTGGAGTGTAAACTTAATTCCCCTCCATCCATATTCTAATTACAATGTTTAGGCTCAGTAGAATTAGTTCTAAGTGAAGTGTATTTATTTCAATCAACAAACTGTGAAACAGACACATTACTGAGAATTACAAAGGAAACCATAAAGTGAAATGGTCCTCTGGGAAATGAGACTGGGAGAGTAGGGAATCTGGGCAGGGAACTACTGCTTTCATTTGAAGTCCTTTTCTAGTACCTGATTTTTTAATGCACTGGTATATACACGGCTTTTCATCAATGGTACACCATTAGGGGAAAAAATGCACATTTATACCTCCACCCCCACAAAATTGACTTCTTTTTGAGAAACATTTAGTAACTAAATACATTCTGGATCTTTAAGCCATCTGTGGCTACTTCATTTAAAAAAATTTTTTAAATACTAAATGTAAATAACTCAAGTAATTTTCTCCATTATAGAGGGCTCCAGTTTTTTAAGTATATGATAAATTGAAGCCAACACTTCAATTTACTGCAGAGGTTTTCTTAAAAGAATTCTGACAAATATCCATGTTTGCATTGTAATTACCTCAGTTCCTTTCATTTAAAATCACTGACTCCTACTTAGTAATTAATAATTGGATAACTTTAAAAAACTACTCACCTCAATAGCTTTCATAAATATTATTTAAAATAAACATAAAGGCAGTTTAATGATTATTCATTCATATTTGTAGAGGGCGTCTAAAGCGTCACCAAAAATACAATATTCTGTACTTTCACTTGCTACTTTCCATTCTAACCACTGGTAAGTTAAAATAAGTGTCATAAATATAGTTGGGTCTTAAATATCCTAAGACTCAACAACTTCCACTTTATAATTAAAGAAAAGGTCTGAAATATCCCTCCCCCCCAAAAAAAATAAATTCGATACTTTAAACACAGCAAAAATGCTTAGTTGCCATAAGTACAAATTAACAAGGTCTGTGCAAGAGCAAGACCGTTTGTGACTACACCTTCAGAAAATGCTGAACAACTTCATTTACAGAAGGACCCCGACGCCGCATTCTCCCTAAATTACTTTTATGTTGAATTATTTTCTGAGAGCACCTTCAAAGAAAGCGTAATTTTCCCCATACAAAAACCACTCCTTGCTCAAGCCACGGGCACTCAGAAAGAAACTTGGACCACATCAGCTGCCTTACCTCCAGGAGGCCCCCACTCCGACCCCACCCCCAATCGGGCTCGCCTTTGCGGTCCTTTTCCTTTACCAAGAGGACCAGAAAAGAGGGGTCCCTTCGGCTCGGCCGCCCAGACCCTGATTTGGGGTCCGAGCGGTCGCTGTCTACTCTGATTCAGCCCTCCCCTTGCGGACTTCCCTCCGTGGGGAGTTGTCCAGGTTTCTGTTCCTCCACCCGTACTCGGGAGTTCAGAGGGCCAAGGCTACGCTCAGGGCCGCGCCCCACCCAGTCCAGGCCTGCTGCCTCTGCCCTGCGGGCGTCGCGACTCCACCCTCCCCTCTCCGCCTCTTCCACCTCCGTACCTGGAGATCCAAGCCAGGTGCCTGCTTTCCGGCTGCAGCCCGGCGCGGAACAGCGGCGGGGCCGCGGGGGCTGAGTCCTTCCGGGGTCAGGAGTGGGACGGTGGAGGAAAGTGGTGGGGGCCCGCTGCCCTTGCTGCGTGAGGAGCTACGTGTGAAGTGGCTCCCGCCATTTTTGTTGAGGGCAGAGGCTCCGGCTTTGCTAGGTGAATGTCAAAACTACAATTTCATGTTTTTCAGTGGTGTCAAGAATTGGTATCGTAGTTCGTACCTTTTGAGGGGTCTAAGAATCATTCTACGAATCTGGTGAAAATTATGGGGGCTTTCCCTCAGAGAAAATGCACATAGACATGTTCATATATTATTGAAAAGAAAAAAGAGATACACGAATTCAGATAACCAAAACAACCGTGCATCCCAGATTAACAATTTATACTATAGACCCTCATTCCCTAAACGAATGAATGTTGAGACGTTCCAACCCCGTACTGATCATGAAGTCATTGTTGATTCCAAATCCTCTGTAGCTTTTCTCCACTTTTTCCAATGAATTAGGCTACTAAGGAATATGTGAATGTGGTCAGTTTGAGTTGCTAGGGCATTCACTGCTCTGAGGTTCTAACACACAATAAACCGGTGGTGGGCGGGGGGACAGCAAAACAAGGTGCTGTTTAAATGTGCACTCCTGAGCCAAAACATTATGTAAGAATTGCACATTTTTAAAATCCTAATTGCTGAGCATATATTTGAGATAAAAAGCCAAAATGATTTTGTAAGGATAAACATAAAAGCAAATGTTACTGTTCCTATCTAAGAGACAAGAATGAACAACTTGTTAGTTTTCAAAATTCCCCTTTAGTCAAATGGAAAAAAGGGAAAATGACAGTAGTGATGTGGGAAGTTACTAGATGAATAATAATTAAAAATGCACAGATTGAGTTCTATGTGAAAATATTTTGCAATGTAGGGACCAAGGGCAGACTGCCTCAAAATGTGCCACTTTAGCATATTGATTACTTTGAATTAAAATGACTGGAGAAATAGCAGAGGTAGAAGAGATTCTCTAACCCCCATCTCTGTTCCCTTTGCCTTGAAACCAGGAAATAAATCTCCCATCGGAGAAGTGCCTTCCTTGCACCTGGAGGTACAGAGCCATCCTTATTGTCAGAGACAGGGAATTCAAGGCCAAATAAGCCTATATATACAAACCTTGTTACTCTATATTAATTTATTACTCCAACCCAAATGCTTTTAGAATTCCTTACTAACTGAAGCTCCCAAATCAAAGTTTTCTTTGTCCTGTCAACTCCTCACAGACTTATGCTTCTTTTTCTAAAATGTATAAAGTCTTCCTGCCTTGATCATTTCTTTGGGTCTCAAATTTATTATTGGGTCTCCATACATATATAATCAAGCTTTGTGTTTTTTTCTCCTATCAATCTGTCTCATGTCTGTTTGATCCTTAGACCAGCCAGAAGAACCTTGAAAAGTAGAGGAAAAGTCTCATCTCCAACAGCACTTACGGTGCTCTTGATACTTGAAGAACCTATAATTTGTAAGCCTACTTTTGTTTATTCCCCCAATCTTCTCTCTGCTCTCTTCCCTATTTCCCACAACTTCCAAACATTCTGCCTAATGAGAAGAGCAGCAATAATGACTGCCACTGAAAGCAACTTTCCCAAGAACATTATCTGCTTTAATTTCACAGTAAACATTATGAGAGAGATAATATTACACAATGGGTATGGATTTTACTCTTTAACAGGAGAACAAGAAATGCCATATTTTATTTATTTTTCTAAATCAGTGTAATTTTCTCCAAGCCTCCCTTCCTCTGGGTTAGCAGAATATTCAATCTTAGTTATTATTGGGTATGCCAGTTAGGATGCTGTTAGCTACAAGCAAAAGAAAACTGAACAAACACTGGCTTCACCCATAGGGCAATGTATTCCACATGGATGCAGAAGCAAGTGGATCAATCTCATATCTGGACTTAATGTCTTCTGCTATTTTGGCCCAGAAAAAAATGAGACTTGGATTAGTTCTAAATTTCTGTCCCTCCTCAAGATAACCAAAGCTATCATGAAAAGCTCAACAAACCAGGGAGTGGAGTTCATGGAGTAATACTAGTTACTGTCCAAATACTGAGGTATTTGCCACTTCAGCCAAAATGTGATGAATCATAATCAACCATCAGTGAATCTGGGGGATTCCATATGCATGGTATCTAAACAGTGCTGTGGAGTCATACTGAAAGGGTTTGAATCCTTTCTCTGCCACCTACCCTCATGATGCCTCAGTTTCCTCATTGGAGTGTTGGGAAGATAAATATAATAATATTTGAAAAGCATGAAGAGTCTTACATAAGTTTTTAACTTAGGTTACTTGTAGCCCCATGGCATACAAGGATAAAACTCTATTTCCATGTATTTGGTTTCCTTTGTAGTCTTACATATTTTGTTTTATGCACTAGGAGAAGGGAATCCATGGGCTTTACCAGAGTGTCAAAAGGGTTCATAACACCAAAAAAAAATGTTTAAGAACTTAGAACAATCCTGGCATATATTTCTAAGATATATGACGTATTTAGTGGGACTTTTCTATGTCCTTTGGTAAAAGCTCCAAAACAGAGAAACAGATGCCAAGTGCCCTGAGCATTCTTAAAAAGGTCTTGGCCATCCACACAGCACCTGCTAGGAGAATGTGAAGCCCATTTAGCAGTTCTTAGACCTCACATACCTCCTGGGAATGATATGGCAGAACTGATCAAAGAAGATGGGAGAATGAAAATGCCTAAGGGACAGTTTTCTGGAGGGCTGTGCATATGCCCTTTCCTTCCCCAAGAGTGGAGACAGCAGAGTGCATATCCCATCCTACCCTCCACCTCAAGTCAAGTAAAGGAGCTTCAAGAAATTCAGACTATTTGACCACTGTGCCCTATAATGTATGTCAACTGGAAAGGTTTAAAGGCAACAGACTATCCTAAGAGAACTTCAATGGCAGAGCAGGGGGGTGGAGAGGTACAGTAGAGGTGCCCTGTACTAGCAATTTTGCAAGAAAAGTTTTCCTATGGGTCACGAATGCTGCAAAAGGTAGCCAGGCTAAAATTATCTTAAAAGGTTTTATCTCCAAACCAGGAACTAAGTGGGCCACCTAAATGGTTAACCACAGATTTTTTTCCCCCTAGTATTAGGAAATGAAACAGTGAGAGATCCTCAGCAAGGACAGCAGTCATTGAGGAACCCACAAAAGGGCCTTTATAAGGAAAAAGCTGGTGTTTAAGAGGGGGCCTCCTGCAGAAGTTACCAAAATTAGGTTTAACTGCACTGATTGGGTATATCTGATTTTTATTTAGGATTTAGGATCACTTCTCACTCCAGCTAAGACAATCTATGGCCAATGTACTTCATGAATTATTGGTGGAAACAGTATTTATCAAGTGATAATATTAAGCCTGACCAAAGTCTAACACTATGAGTAGTTAAAAAAATTACATCATGTAAATGGATGAATTCTTTTAGGTAATTCATTTATCCAATTACTTGTTCCATTAACTGCTAAAATCTGGCAGAGTACCCAGAAATAACTCATGGCCTCCTTTTTAAAATCTATACAGTGAGGGGCATATACTGTTCATTGTATCTTTGTTCTCTTCACTCTCTGAGAATGAAATGTAGATTAGAATAGTTTGAAGACTGTGCTTGATCAGATATAACAAAGATGAGGTAGGAGGAATAAATGTGGGTCCACCTAATGCCATGAAGGACCTGGGTTAGGCCAGCAAGATGCCTAGGGACATAGGTATTATGTCTTAGGTGATGAAAGGTCCACAGATATTGCATCCTAGGCAACTTGCTTGTCTCATCCTTAATGAGAAAAAATGCTCTGGGGCAACAAGTAGTCATTGAAGAGTTACATGACTGGTACTCCGTGTTTTAGAAAGAGTTGTATTTAGAAGTATGGCATTGAATTATAGTGATTCCTTGCTAGTGCAAGGTCTTGTCTCTATGTTGATGGCTGCTGACTGATCAGAGCGGTGGTTGCTGAAGGTTGGGGTGGCTGTGACAATTTCTTAAAATAAGACAATAATGAAATTTGCCATACTGACTGACTCTGCCTTTCACAAACAATTTCTCTACCACATAAAGTGCTGTTTGATAGCATTTTACTCACAGTAGAACTTTGAAAATTGGAGTCAGTCTGATAAAATCCTGCCACTGTTTTATCAACTATGTTTATGTAATATTTTAAATATTTTGTTGTCATTTCAATGATCTTCATAGCATCTTCACCAAGAGTCAATTCTGTCTTAAAAAAATTTTTTTTTTGCTCAACCATAAGAAGCAACTTCTCATTCATTAAAATTTTATCATGAGTTTATAGCAATTCAGTCACATCTTCAGGCTCCACTTTTTAATTCTAGTTCTCTTGCTATTTCCACCACATCTGCAGTTACTTGCTCCACTGAAGTCTTGAATCTCTCAAAGTCATCCATGAGGATTGGAATCAGCTTCTTCCAAACTCCTGTTAATGTTGATATGTTGACCTTTTCCCATAAATTATGAATATTCTTAATGCATTTAGAATGGAGTTCTTTCCAGAAGATTTTTCAGTTGACTGCTCACTTTCATCAGAGGAATCACTATCTGTGGCAGCTATAGCCTTATAAAATATATTTCTTGACCCAGTAATTCCACTCCTAGGAACTAAAGAAAACAAAATCCCTGATTCAAAAAGATATATGTATGCCTATGTTTATCACCACACTGTTTGCAATAGCCAAGATATGGAAGCAATCTAAGTGTTCACCAATAAAAGAAAAGAAATCCTGCCATTTGCAATAACAGGGATGGATCTACAGGGTATTATGCTCAGTGAAATAAGCCAGGCAGAGAAAGACAAATACCAAATGATTTCACCCA